TCAAAAATAATGTTTTTACTTGCGTTTTTAAGCCTTGTAAATCATAATTTTGCGTTTTTCTCAGTTTTAAATTATTTATAACTCGAAAACGATCAAATTTACATAAAAGCTACAGGAGACATATTTTGTTCAGAATGATCAAAAAATTGTCCAGGCCAAAAAAAATCAATGACAATATTTTTCCGAACGAACCGAGCTTTTCGTCTTGTCTAGTAGTTGTTATTTATTGTTTTAATACATGTTAATGCTTTACAAATAAGTTTTCCATGCCTTTAATAATATATTATTTAACGAAAATTGCCAACAACTTTGTTTTCATAAGTTAAAAGTTTTGAATAACAACACCTGACAACCGCAGATATTATAATTTAGTTTATCAGTTATTTTGACGCGAGTGAGCGGTATATCAACGTTTTTGCTTAGCCTGTCAATAACATACTGTTTGTACAAGCCAAACAATTTTCTAAATAAGGAGTTAGAGTTTATGAAAAAATAATTATAATATTTCGAGAGCCATAATACATTTTGGATAATTTTAAATAAATGTAGGTCATATAAAAAAGTTTTGATACTACTTTCTTATTTAGTATTATGGTCTACAGCCCTTCAGCTATCAATCCTACCTCTTTTTGCTTTAGGCTAGTTAAAGTAAACGATATCGAAAAGATCGATATCTCAAAATTTCCAGCTATCGGTTTGGAAAATTCGTTATAAGAAAATCAAACAATACAAATTGTTATTCTTTGCTTCACGTATCCAGCACGCGTTTCTTTCATCTCAAATACGGGAACAATCCAAAATATCGATCTAAATTTTATTAGATGATAAGGAAAGCACTCAAAATATCGGTTTTTACGAAATAATGCTCCATGAGATTCCCGAAATACCATTATACTGTTATCATCTCAGTTTTGTAATGTCTTAAGGGAATAATTCCAGGTAATTGAGAAAAACAGGCTATGGGACATAAAACCAACGCGTATGTTGGAAACAGATGCGGAATTCAGCCCGTTGCCGAGTTAATGGGAAAATTGCTGTATATTTTTTTAGCCATATTAGTCTATTGACAAGTAATGTTTATTGTTGCATTTTTTAAAGAACGCAATTTTATTTTTTTTTGTGTGTAGGGGATTAGTAGAAGCTTAAGTTCAAGTTTGTGGGATCATCACTTTTGTCATCCGGTCGCCATCTAGGAAAAATTAGGTGCAAAAAGTTTTCGCGCTGTATCTCGTTAAGGCTGTTTTAGTAATCAAAGCACACTGCGATTTGAAATGGGCGCTTTTCTACATTGCTTACGCTAGCCGACGACGGGTACAGCTGTTTACTCAGTGGCGCCGGCCGACGGGTAGTTTAATGACAACAAATGCATTATTCTTCATTCAACTTAGTTTTGTCGGGAATATTTTTTTTAGCTTAGCTTAGCTTAGCTTAATATAGTATTGAATAAAAGTTTGTGAAACGTGACTGCAAAAAGCATCATAATGTTTATTTATAATAAATTTAAAATAACAAAAATATTATTATCAAAAAAAAGTACAATTTGTTGTCACAAAAGAATAAACAATTTCGCAGTTATAGCTTGAAAACGATTTCAAATCGAACTAATTGACCGTACGTTCATGAGATTTGACGTCACGAAGACGATAACGGGGAAACTAAGTGCCAATGATGAGTAACACGTTTCACTATTAGATTTCAGTATTTTTTAGCAAGTTTGAACACGCTTTTCTCGATTATTACTGGACACAGAAAGGTGAAAAAAAATCAACGATTACAGAAAAAAAAAACTGTTTCAAGTGATGGGCGTAAAAAGTTTGGTTATAATAGAACTTTAAACTGCATAATCCGATATTTCAAAAGAACTTTCAAAAACAATTAAAAAAGTAAAACCATCAGTTTAAAGGTAACATAATTTTGAATAACGTGTCTAAATTTCGAGACATTTTGTCGGTAAATAACAGAGAAAATACTGTCTCTATGTTTTGGTGTACCGATAAAAGAGCCTTAACTAGTAAACCTACAGAAAATTTTATAAAACATTATTTGTAGCAAATTAAATTGTCTACGCCTTTATTTTTATTACTTTTTATCGTAAAATGGAAAATTTAAAAATTGTAAAGAAAAATATCTTAAAATTTTTGAACAAATTTTGTTTTGGGGGTTATAACTTTTTTTCTGGCCATTTTACAATAAAATTAAAGAGAAGCAATTTTATAGAGGGATTTAAACGAATAATTTTCAGTACAAATTCATTTAAGTTCATTCATCTATGTGGGTTTTATCTTTCCGAAGTTGATCGGGTTTATGAATACTCATAAGAATACGATTAAAATGTTTATTCATAAAATTTATCATTTTTTTAACATTCCTATGTTATTATTAATTTTTCTACCTTCACCCACTACAAAAGTTAGAAAATCATTAGTTTTTACAATAATTTCTAAACAGTGTACATTTTCGAGAATTCTAAGTAGTAGAAAAGTTGTAATGCTAGACATCTGGAAACCCGTCTTACATTTGTGGACCTACAAAAAGCATATGATACAGTCCCAGTATCGAGACTGTGGAAGGTATTAGAACAAACGAACATCAATCACAACTATATAGCTGCACTTAAAGAACTGTATGAAAATTCACAATCAAGAATTAAGATAGGTAAAAACTCACAGATGCCTTCATAGTGAATAAGGGACTACGTCAAGGATGTCCTATCTCTCCTACACTATTCAAAATATATGTAGCAGCGGCACTTAAGAACTGGAAAAGGAAAATAAACGGAATGGGTATAGAGATAGATGACAGATACCTGTTTACTCTTCAGTTTGCAGATGATCAGGTCATAGTGGCCAATGACAAAGACGACATGCAATATATGATTAGAAAGCTGATAGAAGAGTATGAGGAATGGGGCTTGACAGTTAACGTAAATAAAACGAAATATCTATGTGTAGGCTCTCAGAGCCAAAATTTGGAGTTGGACAACGGTCAAGAAATTCTGCAATGTCAAGAATACGAATATTTAGGTATCACATTCGACAATACCGGAACAGATGTGAAAGGGATAGAAAAACGAATAGTTACAGCTAAAAAGATAATAGGATGTCTGTATGGCATCTTGTGGAGCAAGGAGATAACAAAAAGGAGAAAATTTAATATATACCAGACAATGGTTAAGAGCAGCCTATTGTATGGAGCGGAAACATGGAGAATTCCACACAGACAAAAAAAGAAGGTAGAGGCAGTCGAAATGGACGCGATAAGAAGATCTATGCGAGTCTGACGAAAAGAAAGAATGAGGAATGACCATATAAAACAACGAATGGGAATAGAAGGTACGATAATTTATGATATTGGAAAGAAACAACTTACCTGGTACGGACACGTAGAGCGAATGCAAAATACTAGATGTCTCAAAAAAATACTGAACTGGACCGCAATAGGGAATAAAAAGCGAGGAAGACCCAAACTAGAGTGGTAGCAAAACATAAAAAAGTCAATGAGCGAACGGAATCTATCAACGGAAGATTGGCACGATAGAAGAGGATGGAAATAAGGTGTCGGACAACGGAGAAGGACGTTCTAAACCGGCATATATATATATATATATATATATATATATATATATATATATATATATATATATATATATATATATATATATATATAGAAAAGTTGTGTTACGAATATTTATTATTTGTATAAAATGTATTTAGTTCAATTTAGTTTTATCATGTTACATAAAATTTCCGTTGCTACTGTTCCATAAATTATGTCAAATATAATATAAAAAAACGTCAAAAAAAACTGTCACCCAGGGAAAAATTTAAATAATTTAAGAATTTAGCAGACAGCAAGAGAACAGTAAGTAATGGGAATTAATTAGTTTTTTTTTATATTGTTAATTTTATATATTGTAGGAATTTGAGTTGTTTTTACGCAAATAAAACAGATAACTACAAATCCGTCAATTGCTGTCTGATCAATACAGATAAATTCCCAACAAGTTGTTATAATTTTTGTTCAGGAGGTTCAGCTGTTTCTTCCCCCTCTAGATATTCTTTCAATTGTGCTACATATTTCGCCACGTACAGGCGTATTGAATTTTGATAAATTTCTTGGTAATGAATAGAATAAAACAAACTTAATATACATCAAATTCTCAGAGATGGGTTTTAATGTCGACCAGGCTGAATCAGATGCAGATACAGTCATTATCCGTTCTGCACTTGCTGCGTCCCAATTCTATGATTCTGTACCTATCGTAGCAGAGGACATTGACACTCTTAACTTGCTCACGGAATTAGAAAGGAAGAGTTCAATGTATTTTTTAAACCTTTAAAATGTTGTTAGTAGGATCAATTGTACTGTTCTATAAGTTTTATATATGGTGACGCCATAGCAGAGAACTTGATATTTCTTCATGCTTTTTCAGGATGCGATACAAAAACAGCAACTTACAAGATCGGTAAACTTAAATTCATCAAAATTTTACAGACCTAAGTTATTTAGCTTCTTCTTCTTTAAGTTCCATCTTCTATCGAAGGTTGGAAATCATCATGGCTATGCAGACTCTGTTGACTGACGCTCTAAAAAGTTCTGCACTACTGCATTCAAACCATTCCCTTAAGTTCTTAAGCCAGGATATTCTTCGTCTTCCCACATTAGTTATTTAGCAGAACAGCATTATTTCTCATCAAAGAAAAATCAAGCCGTCTTTGCTCATTGTCGTTGTCGGACGTTTTTTCATATCTTTATATGGTGGAAATAAAGATGAACCTTTGGATAGCATGAGCTCCAAACGATTTATTAAGACAATTATCTTAGCATCGCTTCCTACAACACCAGATGCAGTCCCTTTCCACACTCTCCGAATTTATCACCAAGTGTATATTTAGATCCAGGTTCAGAAAAGGAACAACTTAACTCACTACATTAGGAATCTAACTTATAAGTCAAGAACTTGTAGTTGAATTTGAATTTTTATATAGAAAAACACTTACCACTGTAATCTTTTTCACCAAATTTAGGTTGTCCAGTAAAAGGAGGATCGTGGAAATCAAAGCCGATGGAATCATTATCCATGGCAAACACTTTCTCGCATTCTTCATCGAGTTGTGCGTCTTCGCTATTTCTACGACCTCCATCATTCTGAAAATAAAATAATGTTATAAAAATATGACAATATTTAAAGTTTAAAAATGTACATAAATTACTATTAAAAGATGAACTAGCTTGGATAGTACCAACAACTTTAAAATTTACTCTTTGATCACGTTAGAAAACAGGTCGCCCAGTACAAACTTGGAGAAGATCCATCATGGTGTACCCTCACAAAGGTGAGGTGTTACACAAAGAATGGTACTAGGCTTGGGCTTCAGTCTGGTAGAGGTATCTTGGTCGGGGTTCTTATTACAGCTCAAATATCACGGATCAGTTAAAGAAGTACAGACAACACAGAGACAACAAATTAGATGAGAAGAGAAGTTATTTGGACACCACCCTATTTTTAGAGGAACAGTGAAACCTTAAGGTATATTGAAGAAGATAACGAGAAAGGTAAGATACAGTTAAAATACGCGAGAATGAAGTAAACCGTGAGAGAAAAGGTATCGTGATTATGCGGTACACAATTAATATTTCGACACATATACAATAAATATACGATCAAACAAATAATAGTATAAATCAATAAAAAATGCCTGGAAGAGAAACACAAAAATATAAATTCATATTATATAAAAAATAAAAAGCAAATAGTTCGTCAACAAAATTATATTGAGGTATAGTTGTTAATGTAAATGTACTATCACAATGTTTACTGAACAGTTAAATGGCATGATATCAGTTATTGCAAAATTTATTATTAAATACAAACAAAAAATATCTTTTTGAAAAATAATTATGAATAATTTAGTATCCTCAAGAACTAGAAAAAGGCAAGGAACATTATAATTGTATCTACGTCAATATTCGTCAAACACGTGAATTTTACGCCTTGAGAATACGTAAACATGAAGTTACTAAGTTTTTACATTGAGGTTCTTACATGAAGGTAAGGTACACTGAACTGGAGTCATAAATCAACTTCTAACGATTTAGGTATCGCAGTTGAGCTTTAGGCCGTTATTAGACTAGGCAACTGGTGGCGCCACCAAGTTGCTCCACTAGTTACTCAGTGCGTCACGGGTCAATAAAAATTATACTCACAGAACTAGTATAATACAGGTGGATGCAGATAATCGCCCTCAATAAAGGCACTTGACTTCGGTCCTTGCAACAGGTAGTCGGGACGACAGGCGCAACGATGACTTACGGTCTTCTAAGCGTAATCCCTCAAATTGATTTAGGCCGATGAAAAGAGACAGCCAGACGGGAACAGTACAGGTAGTAATGAGTAGTCGAGATAAATGAAAGTATAAAAACACGTAGATATGACTGAATGTAGAGATGAATGAATCGTAGAGGTGAATGAACGTAGCGGTGAAAGAATGAAGCTGTGGAAGAATGAACGGCAAACAAAAGTGACGTCGTTCCTTCTAATTGGAAGACGTCTGTTTGACAAAAGAGAAAATAGTTAACATAGGACACACTGTGTAAAGATATTTTATATAGATAAGGGTGAATTGAAAATCCACTTACCGCCGTTTGATGAAGATAAACCGCTTGCCACAGGAACTAACTGGAAAATGACTTCTGAACTTCGACGGGCTTAGACAAGCGATAGGTGAAACAGAGAGGGGATATTGGCTGAAGGGTGCCACGCGAAATTGATATTAAATAGCCGGGCTACTGGGGTTCATTTTCGTAGCTTACCCTTTCTCTACCGATAGAAATTATCTTTCTCCGAAAAACAACTCTTCTGTTTTTCTGAGAAGCTAGAGCAAAGATTTCACAATAGGGCCTTTTTCCTTTGTTACTAGGAAAGATTTCTATTTAGCAAAGCTTGATAAAGAGAACGGGAAACATTTGTCGAAGCTATTTCTTTGTTAAAAAAGGGCGTAACCAATTGGTCGGTGCTATCGGGTTAGTTGTAAGGCTTTTTTAAAGAAGAATATGTAGGCATAGACGGCGTGAAAATAATTCTCCAAAGGGAATAATTTAAAGAAATTATGAACATACTTCAATGGGAGAGATTAGAGGTCAAGGAAAAGATGAGGGCTTGCAGAATTGAGTTCTTCACAGTAAATACTGCAACTGGAAGATAATTTAAACTGTAATAAAATGTTACAGCGTTATAATCGCTGATCTCACACCATCAATAGTTTTGGATGAATATGTATAGATATGACAATAATCTGGGAGAGAAGCAAGTATGTTGTAAAATGATTAAATAATTGTTGCATGGGAGGGTCTCAAACTTATTGTATTTAGAACGAATTAGATCACATATTGCACGACGAAAGGTCCAGGGGGATTAGATTACTTGCACTTTCAATAACAGCCATCACATACATCATTTTATATATTTATCGTTAATCTCCATAAAAAGAGAATTACTAATAAATAAGCAACTTATTCATTATTCAAAGATATGAGCAGATTGTACTAATTTACATATTTGTGAAATATATGTACAACCATAAAATCATGGAAGTCAACATCATAACTCCAAATATCAGATTTTATTACTTTAATATTTAGCTGTTTGGTGTTATTCTGAAATAGTGTATTTAGGCCTTTAATAACACCGCCCTTATACATCCACAAAGATATTAACGAAGGAGAAAAAGCAGTAAACAGCTTTCAACTTTTTATTGCGAACGAGCTTGATAAGATATATTTTACGATTGAGGAAAAATGTAAACTCCAAACGACCTGTCTGGATATTTTTCACTGATTTTGGAGAAAAGATTTCTCTATTCTAAGGGAAACGATATTCGTATGTTCGGAAATTTATTCCCAAAGAAAAAAAAGAAAAGTCATGAAAAAACAAATAGTGAAAGCTGAAGTAAATGCGATTTTTGTGGTTTTTGTTTCTGAAAGATATACATGTTAGTTTATACAAGGGTAAGTTCATAGATTCAAATATTTAAGAGGGCAGAGAGAATTCAAATACACAGGATTATATAGTAGAAATAGAACAAAACATAAAAAGATAACAAAAAGGCAAGTGTTAGTGGGAGGACCAACTATATATAACCCATTAGGATGGATTGTTCCAGTAATAATGCCATTCAAAATATTTGTACAAGAATTTTGGACCAAAAATGATCATTCATACCCCCGAAGAGATGATTTCGTCTCGATCAATGGATACGGAGCGATAATATACACTAGAACATTATTTTCTGAGGTAAAAACAAGCCATAAGCGAATGTTGGCGACTTTCATGGCAATCTGTACTTTTCATATTGCTTTTCTAAAAAGATTTGTGGTTGTTGTGTTGAACCACGTACGTAGCTTTTCAGCCAGCAACTTTTTCGCCTTCCTGGTTCGCGTTTTCCTTTTATTTTTCTTTATAAAATTAGTTGCAACAATCCATATCTTTCCTGTTCCTCATAATGTGACCGGGGTGTTCCATTTTGGGTGTTTTTATTGTGAATTCCCAAGGTGCTTTGTTGCTCTTTGTTTCTAAGATAGCTTATTTAACTCCTTCTATAAGTATAGTCAATTTCTGATCTTTGTCTATCTGTAGCTGTTTTTTTGTTCTTTCATCAGCATCATCATTGGCTTTTACAACTCTTCGTGAGTTTTTGCCGCGTTTACTATTGCCTTCCATTGATTCCGATCCTGTACTAATATTTCCCATGGCCTTACTTCCATCTTCTCCAGGTCTTCCCTGACTGTGTCTTTCCACCTTTTTCTAGGCCTTCCTGTCGATCTTTTACCATCTGGTCTTTCCCAAAACACATTGCTAATCAATCTGTCGTCATCACTCCGTACCACGTGGCCTGCCCATCTTAATCTATTGGCTTTTATGTATCTTACGATGTTTCCTTTCCCGAAGAGAGTCTCTATTTCATTGTTGTATCTGCCCCTCCATTCATTTGTCACGCTGTCCCTGCAAGGACCATATATAATTCGTAGGATTTTGCGTTCCCATACTAATAGCTTATTGATTTCTTTCTTTCTCAATGTCCATGTTTCACTTCCATATGACACTGCTGGTCGTATTATGGTTTTATACATTTGGATTTTGGCACGCCTTGAGAGAAGCTTTGACCTCATTAGATGTTGAATGGCAAAGAATGATTTATTCCCCGCCAGTATTCGTATTTCAACCTCCCGTTCTCCTGTGTTTTCACTGGTAATTGTTGCTCCTAGGTATTTGAATTCTTTGACCACCTCAAAATTATGATCGTTTATGGTAATGTTTTGTCTTATTCGCTGTCGTTCCTTTTTTGATACCACCATGTATTTAGTTTTTTCTTCGTTTATTTTCAGGCCTACGCTTAGTGTTGCTTCTTCAAAGTTCGATACTATATCCTTAACTTCCAGTGTTGTCTGTGCTACTGCATCTACATCATCTGCAAATGCGAGAATAATTTTTGTTCCTCTGGCAGTTACTCTGGTATAGATTTTTCGCATCTGGTATAGATTTTTTTTTTGTTCTTTGATCATCAAATATATTTCTTTTTGTTATTTTTATATGTTTTAAAATACAATCTTTTACTTACAAACAAACAAGTAACACTAAGCATTTTTATTGAACGAACATAATATGTAGGCAAGAGTTTTAGTCCAATAACTGTTAACTCCTAGCACTACTAATATTAGTACTACTAGTATTACTAATAACTCAAATAAATTCCTAAGTATTTCCTAAATTGCAAGTAAAACGTCAATAGATTTTGCTTCATTAATCTTTAACTTCGATTTCTTAACCCATATTCCAATTAAATGAATGGTTTGTTGTAATATTTCAGCTGCTTTTGTCACCGCTGGGGAACAAATAGTGGTTCAACTTCCTTCTATTGCCTCCGGGTGCTCTGTAGAGGGCTTCGAAGACGTCAACGTAAGCACCTCTACCCAAGTCCACTTATAGGTTATGGACTTGTAAAAAGTTTTCTCATCTGATGACTCGTCTTGAGAAAGACGAGTTATTTCTTACATGACGAATATTAAGTTGAAATAAAACACCAAATTGTAGTAGAATAAATACTTAGCCACAGAGTATGAAAAGCTAAAAAGGAAGCAGAGCCTCGAGA